TCATTCCCTAGGCTTCGTGAGTAACCCTGCAAACCACCTTGGCTGCTGGTCAGCAAATCACTGACTGCATTTGCTCCTCCTTGACTAACTTTGGGAATCACACAGCTGAGCAGTATATATTAGCTTCCTTCTGGCTTATGAGAAATAGCACATGTGGGTTATGTAACAATTGCCTGGGTTATTTTGCAGAGACTTGAACTTTTGCTAAGACAGGTTCTTCAGTGGACCCTTCAAATATCCCGTGGATAAACACAGCCAAAGGCTTGGCGTCTGTCTTCCTACAGTGTCTGTCCATTCCACTGTTCTAACTCCTGGGCCAGCTCTACATTAGATAAATGGTCATTATTTGAAAAAGAAAATGTATTTTCAAGACTTGTATAACTTGACCTGTTGCCTATTGGAGCTGGTGTTTCTTCCACCCCACCCTTGTGCTCTCAAGGTAGCTTGCAGGCTTACAGTCTATAAACCATGAGACCAGAATGGTTTATGAGAAACTCAGTAGTTTCTGAGCAAAGCTGACTACTCATTAGCCCAGCCCAGCAAATAAAATTGTGTGTGTGTGTGTGTGTGTGTGTGTGTGTGTGTGTGTGTGTGTGTGCTCATACACACACACAAGAAGTATGTCTTTTGAAACCATGTTGGAACTAACAGACAAGTCCATCCCTGAAGAATCAAAAGCTTGCTGTTTCATCTTGTTCCACGAGCAGCCCAGTCACCTCTTTGGTCAGTATTAGTGTCCTTCTATTCTTATGTGGAAGTCAATAAATGGAGCCTTGCCTTGACTGTCTCTGCTCACACCATGTGCATGGAGCCTGGCTTGGAGGCACAGGTTTAGAATATGAACTACTCAAGGCTGAGGCAAGAGCATCACAAGGGTCAAGGTCTGCCTGTAGAAAGACCCTATCTCAGAAAGTCTAAAGAGGGCTGAGGATATACTCAGAGCATGCACACTATCCAGAAATGCAAAAAAAAAAAAATATTATGACTTGGTCTCATTTCTGTTGTTCCCACGCCATAAATCCTTCTATCCAATCTCAATTTTAGTCTATGGTTACTTGACTTGGATGCTGCAGTGTATGTACTGAGACAGAACATCATGACGGGAGCATGTGTGAAACAAAGCAGGTCACATCAGCAGATGGAAGGCAGGCCTGGGGTAGCAGAAGCAAGATAATAGACTTCCTAAAAGCATGTCCCCAAGGACCTGCTCTCAACAAGGTCCTAAGTTTGCACCATCTTCTAATAGTCCATCCAAGGATTAATCCATAGACTGATCAAAGCCTTCATGATTAATATCCTCCCCACAGCTCCACATTTATTTAGACATCAAATACGTGGCTGGGGATAACCTTAAACTTTGATCCTCCTACATCTACTTCCCGAGTGCTAGGGTTACAGGCATGTGTCACTAGTTCATGTGATGTCAGGGATCAAATCCAGGCCTTTGTGCATGCTAGGCAAACCCTGTACCAACTGAACTTCATTCCCTGTTTGCATTTATTGTCCTTTACATGCAGCCTCAGTGATAAATGGCCCCTTTGGAAGCCCGGCAGTGAATTAACTAAGCTTTGGGAGCCCACCTGGAGAGCACCTATAGGAACCCCTATTGCTCAGAACTGGAGAAGCAGCTGGGAGTGGTGCAGGGCTTTGATCCCAGCCCTTGGGAGCCAGAGTCTGGTGGTTCTCAGAACTTGAGGCCAGCCTGATATGTCTAGTGAGGTCCAGGACAGTAACGGCCACTGTTGTGAGACCCTGTCCAAAACAAACAAATGAACGATCAAAGCCCCAGGACCATATTCCAAATGTTTCACACACCATTGTTGAGTCCACACTCGAGCCCTGGGGAAATGCTGAGCAGTTGTTAGTCCGGAGGCATGATGTGTTTCGTATCATTCCTCTGCTTCAGTGTAGACCATGGACTAAGACTATGAAAGACAAAGTGTTGAGAGCTGGAATGAGGGAGGCGATTGAAGAGAAAGCTGAGAATATAAACTAGAGCTGTTTCCTGGGACAAACAGATGAGCCTTGAACTGAGTGGTGCAGGAGAGAGCAGAAGCAGCTTAACTGGAGTGCCAGAGATCTGCTGTTTCTCCTCAGGCCCGTGCATGAATGCTGACATAATTGAGACAAAAAGTAAAAATGCAGGAATGGGTGTATGAGTTCAGATGTGCATGTGTTTGAGGGTTCCGAGACACCCTGTAGATGTACTGTTGGTACTTAGACATACAGTGCTAAGCACAGAACAGGTTCCCTATGAATGTTTCCAGAATGGAAGAAGATGGCAAGGAAAAGTTGAAGGCGTGAAGTGAAGAAAAGCTAACACTAAGGAGACTGCTGCAGGCTATGTACGACCTTAATGGATCTCCTTCACTCCCAGTTGTAGTAGTCTGACTTCGTTAGTCGTTAAGTCTAATAATTGTTGAGTGAATTAAATTTTGTGCACACTCACTAAACCAAGACAGTTTCATCCGTTGTGCAAATACCGATGGCCCCTGACAAGTGACTTGACTCACAACTGACTGCAATGGGGAAAGCAACTTGGCATTGAGCAGAAACTACTTTTCCTGGGCTAGTGATGATTGTCGTTGTGCTGGGCAGATGAGCTAATCAAGGTATTAGATTGTACAACTGTAACACACATGTTCTGAGCACTTCAGGGAAACTAGGTAAGGCTTTATTTGGTACATTAGATCAAATGCATCTTCAACTTACACTACTTTCATCTTACTGTTTGTTAGTATAGAACCTATCCTAAGTTGAAGTACACAAATATTTGTAGGTCAGGATGACAGAGACCAAAAGCAGAAGTTCCGGGCTGATGAGATAGGTCAGTAGATAAAGCCTGTGGCCAAGGCTGATGGCCTAAATTTGATCCCTGGGACCCACATGGTGAAAGGAGACTCTCACAGTTGTCCTCTGACCACCATACAAGAATGTGCACATGTCCCATACACATCCATAAATAAAAACCCCAAACAGCAGTTCCTACCTTTGTTAACAGATCTTAACATAACTGACACCGTGATGGAAGTACCATTCGGGACTTAAAATGTAACATGTAGGTAGGCAGCAACACCTGCCAAAATGAGAACAGTGACCTAATCCATCAAAGTCCATAGTTCTGGCAAGTCCCTAAATGTACTTACTTTATGACTTCTGTAGTTCCACATCTGACCAACTGAAGTGTGTCAACCCAGGATGTGGTTTTTATGCTTAAAAGCTCACTCTGAGAAAGGCTCAGGACTGCCCTGAGGTCCCAAACACCCAGTGTAGTCACCAGCCGGCTAATAAAGACATTCTGTTGGCTTGAACCTGTATCTGAGCAGTGGACATTTTACAAAACCTTATAATTACAACACTTTTAGATTTTATCCTTTACGGTTTGGAAGATACTTGGTTTTTGGGACAACGTTGCATATAAAACAAATTCATTATGTAGTTGAATCAATTTTCAATGCGTGATCCCCCTGCCTCTCCTTCCAAGGTGCTGGGATTTAGGATTGATTGTTTTAAAAACTTGTAAAACTTGCCAGGCAGTGGTGGTGCATGCCTTTAATCCCAGTGCTCGGGATGCAGAGGCAGGTGGATCTCTGAGTTCGAGACCAGCCTGGTTTACAAGAGCTAGTTCCAGGACAGAGAAAACCCTGTCTCGAAAAACAAAACAAACAAACAAAAAAAAAAAAAACCTTGCAAAACTCATATTGTTTTTAGTAATTTCAGTTTACTTGATGGAAGTAATGGTTTTGTTAAACATTCCCTACTTTATACAAATGAAGTGGAAAATAAAGTAACTTTCCATTGTAGTAACAAAATTCCTGATAATTAACTTAAAGGGAGGAAAGCTTATTTTGGTTTTCATAGGTTGTCATCTGAGTCACTCTGGGCCCATGGCAAGGAAGTTCATAGCAGGAAGGTAATGGCAAAGCAGGCCAACTCATGGCTGCAAACAAAAGTCCCCTAGGCTTACCTCCTAAAGGTCCTCCCACCTCCCAGTAGTACCATACATAGGCCTTTTAAGTATATTTAAGACATACAAGTTGCCTATTAAGATTTTAAAAGTTAAAATAAGCCAATGAGACAAAACAAAAGAGCATCTATCAGTGGAAATGTTAATTACACGTAAATACTAAAAAGTATGTTTTGAAACAAAGAATTATTCAGCCCATTCTAGCATTAACGGGACAGAAAACATACTCCAGCAGGTTGCCCCTTGAGCCTTAGATAAGAAATGTTTACTAAGAGTCTCCTGGAAGATGGGTAAAGAGAACTCTTAACCCTTCTTACTTCTCTCCTATGCAAAGCAAGTTACTTTACTAAAATAGGATTTTGTTTTTTTAACGAAGCATAGATTCGAGCTAGTTTGCTTGTGACCCCAAGGTAAATATAAGATTTCATAATTATTGAAATAGGGGTCCAATAAATAATATAAAGGAGCTATATGCAACAAGCACCTAGTAGGAATGAACAGCAATCTTTGGGTGCCTGCCTGAGCTGTTGGAGGAGGTAAACTGGGTCATTTGACCTAGTGAAAATCCTGTTTAGCTTAGGACAACCGGGGCAGAAGGAATCATTCCCCCATCTTCCACTTTTATCCCAAAATTTCCAGGGAAGCTTCTGTATTGTTTCTGGATTTGAGCATCAAGAAGTTCTTTGTTTCTCCATGTATTTCATGTGTAAGAACACTTTTACCTTATCACCCCATACACTGTAGCTTGTACACTGGAAGAAAGTGAGCATAAACTGAGTCTACATCCTACACACACACACACACCACAGTAGTTTTTATATTTAGACACTTTTGATCACTTCAAAAAGTTCTTTGAACACACTGCCTATTTATGTCCTAATTACATTTTCTTTAAATAGCCAAATACTGAAAACTGAACAAACAGAATAAAATAGTTGATATTCATTTTCCCTTTAACAGTCTAGAACCAGACATACCACCTATACAAACCTATTCTATTTCAAGGGGCACATGATTGATTTTGTCAGCCAGCTTTATTTCCAAACAGAAATCACTATTTATTTATTTATTTATATATTATTTATATAAATTATGTGATGACCTTCAGCAAATAAAGGGGATCTATAAAATGCTCTGGTTTGCTTTGTGGATTTTAATTTCGAAATTTCTTCTTTTTCCGAAACTTCTTTCCTGCTGCATTTGCTGCTTTTTCAGCCATGATTTCCGAATACTTCCTTCGGTTAAATCTGAAAAGAAAACACAAACCTTTATGCCCTAATCTATAGCAGAATTATGTCAGGTATACCAGGTGTTAGAAGTTAATATAGCTTTAGGAAGGCTACATCTCAAAATGCTCTGTGCTGAGCTGTCATGTATAAATCACATTGCCACCAAATGTCAGACAGCAGTGGACAAGGCAGCAACAGTCTCTGTCCTCACAGAATTGTCATTTGTTTCATTTGCGTTTTGAGATGGTGTCTTACAATGGCTGGCCTCGAACTTACAACATTCCTATGCACTGGACTTACAGATAGATGTGCACTCAACTCCCCAGCCAGCCAGAGTTTGTATTTAAAGACTGATATCCATTTACCAGGTGACATTGGATCTGGGTATAAATGTGGGATAAAAATGCAAAAAAGGAAAAAAGCAAGAGTTTCTACTTAATGCAAACAGTTATTAATGACACTTCTAAGAAGCTCAGAGTCAGGCGCACTGGAACACTTGGGAGGCAAAGCAGGCGGTCTCTGATCCAGGACAGCCAGAGATATATAGTGAGAGACCCTGTGTCTCAACTGCCCCTTCCCCACAAAAAAACACCTTCGAAAACAGAGCAATGATTTTAAAGTCTGCTCTCCAGATAAAGGTCTGTTAGGTACAAGTGTTTTCACAGGAACACTAAGGCAATGATTATCCCTTCTCACCCGCATTCTCATGAGGGAACACATGCAGTTTAAAGGCTACATGATACATGGTCTGGAAGAAATAGATGAGTATTTAACTAACTATGCCAAATAATAAATTATTTTTGTTTTGTTATTCTTATAAAAAAATAAGTCACCAAAATGGAATCAGAGAACCTATATATAAGCTTACGTGTATTTGAAGAAAAGCACACACTGTAAAGTACAATGTAAATTACCTCCTGAACTCAGAATCAGCCAGCAGCTCTTCCACAATAGTCTTCTTCCTTTGCTTCTTGGGAACTCTTGAATGGTAGAAGTCAGCTGGGTTATCTACGATGGTTCCAACCTAAGAAAAATTGAAAAAAATCATGCTGGACCTGGATGTTAAGTTGCTCCCTATTTCAGTGTAGGTCTAAAGTCTTTGTGGAGAGGAAAGCACAAGCTTACATTACACAGTATTAGTTATGCCAGTTTCTAAAGGCAAAAAATAACAACCTATTGGCTAGTACACAGGTGCTACTGACGGCATTTTCCCATTAGCGTGTAGAGTGGATCCAACGCGTTAGTGCTAAACAGAAAATTCACGACGAATAGCACAATATAAACTGTGCTTTCTAATTCAATGATGTACATGTAAATTCTACATGCCTATTTGATTTTGGAGATTATCACAAACACTGCCAGTTTAGTAAGGTTCTACACTGATCCTCAATTTACTCAAGTTTATAGGATGATTACTATATGCAGGCACTGTGCTTAGGTGATGGGGAAAACAAGGACTGAGAACATCTACTCCATACCATTAAGGAGCCACAATCTTAAGGCAGAGCCAATCAGAAACTAAAAAAACATTGCAGTACAATGATATACACAGAACAAACACATGGCGTGGAAGACCTAGTGACCAGGTTTGTTAAAGGAGGTAAGAATGGCAAAGATGACATTTCAGCTAGGCTCCCTATAGATAAAAGTTCACCAAGCAAACAAGGGAGAGTAAAGTCCAGGAGCAGTGAAGACTGAGTAGCTGAGTGGGTGCGGTTTAAGAGGGCTCAATAACAAAGGGTTGGCAAGCTAGTTTGGGTGCAGAGTATGAAGGTCCACAGGAAGTGATTTAGACTACCCCAAAGTCACCAAGAATTACTCAAGTTTCTCAAAAGTATAACATGAAAACAATTGTGTAAGCAAATTACAGAATACAACACTAGCTACACGGAGGCCAGAGGGAAAGGAACTTGGAAACTTCTAATAAGCCTCGTGAGTAGAAAAGGGTTGAGTGGAAACATGATCAACTGGCTCACTCATGGGAGACACTGAGAAGCAACTTTTGAGTGACTGTCCAAGGAACGGAACAAATAATGTCCTTTCACTCTACATCTTGCATGAACTTTTGCTCATAAGTTAGAACTAGCCATACATTCAGATACAAAATTCACTGAGTTTAATAGACCTAACCTTGATCCCAGCTGCCATTTTTAACCTTGCCCCTCTCTACTGAGGACCCACTATAAAATGGTGGCCGTCTGAGTTGCATTCTAGTCATTATAAAGCCTAAGCAGACACTGACCAAAGACTTGGTGTGCACATGTAAATGCTTTCTTATTCTGCTATGTTACTCTCCACAGAATATAACCAGTATTGTTTGTATACCTGGAAGTACTTAGGGAAACCATCTCTGTCATTTTTCTTGTAAAACCTTTTTGGGTCCATGCTTGCTCTCATCTTCAATGCTTTGAGATCATTTTTCAGTTCATCTGTCAGTTCTGGAGCTTTCATGCCAAACCAACCATTACCAGCTGTTTTTTGGCGCTCTTTCTGAAACACAAGTAGTAAAATAAACATTTAAAAAATGTGTTTTACTTATATGTATGCAGGTGCCCACGGGTGAGGAGAGTGAAGATTTCCTGTACTGTAGTTAAAGGCATAAGCAGCAAGTGTTCTTGACCACCAAGCCATCTCTCCCCTCCCAAATAAACATTCTAACTTTTCTTTATAAGAGTAGAGAGACTAATCTCCCCTAAAATTAGACACACTGCTAACTGTGCTATAAAGGTGACCTCCCCTAAAATTATAAAACAGCAAACTGTGTGAATTAATTGGGTGTTAGTACATAGGTTAGTCCATGAGGTTGAATGATTGCAAATTCAAGGTCCCAGCCTGGGATGTAACTCAGTTGGTAGTTATTGCCTATTCTTACACCATGCCCATGACCCTGGCCAGGGTTCACTCCCAGACACTAGAACAAACAAAACCAAAAACTGTATTTGTGTGCAAAGATGTGAAAAGCCACACTAAACATGTTGATGGAACTACATTGATGTCCCTTAGTGTCTAAGAACTCTGGTCCTATCTATAATTGATGAATACATAGAGCTTAATTCCACAATCACAGTATTACAAACCCTGAAAGTACAAAGGCAAAGCACGTGAGTGATTTGAACAAATCCTACTTACCCTGCGCTGTTTCTGAAGTTGATGCTTCGATTCACTATATGGTGGGATACAATAGTTCTTTTCAAAATCAGGTGTAATGACAGCTTTCTGCAGAAGCTAGAAAAATACAAAATTATTCTTTATCTTTCTTCTCCACTTAAACTTAAGCTTTTAAATTTTGTGTAGGCAAATCCACTAATCTATTCCTAAGTGTTTTTTGCACTTTAAAGAGATACTTGCTGCCAAACCTCCTGGCCTTGCTCTTGATCCCTGAACTCATGGTTGGGGGACACCCAGCTACTGCAAGTTGTCCTCTAATCTTCCCATGTACACCACAGCACAAGCGTGCCCACACATACATACACACAAAACAAATACATGAATGCTTTAAAAAAAAAAAAAAACATAAAAAAAAAATAGGGCCCTTGAGTCCTTAAGTGGGTAGATGCCAATAATAGTAATAATGCTGATCTTGAATTAATTTGTTTCAAGCATCATCTCTTACAGATAAAACTCCATTCATGAAAAGTAACTATTCCAACCAGATGGAAAAAGAGCACAAGACATATAGTTCTGCCACAGGGAAAGTAGTCATTTTTCCAAGGACTAAAGAGGATGGAATAGTTTATGTAGCTTACCTCGTTTTTCTTTTTCTCCTTGATCTGTGTTAGGGTTTTCTTGTGAGGCTTCGGTTTGTCTACATTGAAATTAATATACAAACCACCCAACTGCTTGATATTTAGTCCAGGATCTATGCTGCTACTTGTCAACTTCAGACTGAAAGAGAAAAGATCACTTAAAGATCAAGTAATTAAGACAAAATGCAAACAAGACTGGATGTTAAAAATCACACATAAGCATAGACATTACGGTATGGTTCCTAAAATACCGAATAAACGTGTATCTCATACATTCACTCAGACTAAAGTCTGGGATAAATAATGAATCAACACGGTTGGAGAAGACATCCAAACAGGTCCCGAAGATTTTCTAGGATTAAGCAAATAACATGGCCACAGATTTCATAAAGAATTTGAAGAAAAGCCATTCAGTTGAATTTCACACACTGTGTCTCTACACCAGAAAAAAAAAAGCAGCTGACTCTGAACTTAACTCTAGAATTCTTTCCTAGCCAGATCAGGTGTGGTGCAGGACTATGGAGCCAGCCTTTAGGAAGCTGAAACAGGAGGATTGTGCATTCTGGTCTGATGTAAGCTAAAGAGAGCATGTGTGAAAGAAAAAAGAATTCCCTGCTGGCTGAATTAATGGCAGTGAGCATCATTCCTATGGAAGCAGAAAAGGGATGGCATCCTCTAGACCACTAAACCAGCTTTTTCCACATCTGGTCTCTGCTCCTATCAGATTTTTATAGGGAGAATTTTTGCTTTACATAACTAGGAGTCTTTTTTTTACAAGCAAGTACACTCAGACTGAAGGTCAGTTTCTTCTCTGATCATTTTCATAAATCATGTAGTGTAGTTCAAAGTGTAACCAGCCTCCACTGGAAAGTAGAATCTTTGTATTACAGTGTCTAGGCAGTGGTTCTTATACTAGAATTATGGGAAGGAGTATTTTTAAAAAACAAACAACAAAAGCATTAGCCAGGCATGGTGATGCACACCCCACGGCCCCTCAAAACAAGAGGCTATTACCATAACTCACAGGCACCAAGAACTAGATGTTAAGACCCTACTGGTGGCCGGACGGTGGTGGCACAGCACTAGGGAGGCAGAGGCAGGTGAATCTCCGTGAGTTTGAGACCAGCCTGGTCTACAAGAGCTAGTTCCAGGACAGCCTCCAAAGCCACAGAGAAGCCCTATCCTTAGCCAGCCTTCTCCTAGTTACTTTAAAAGGCAGTACTTACAGCTTCGACTTGGTGTTACTCAGTAAGTCTTCCTCATCACTGGACTCATCTTTATTTTCATCACTGTCTGATGATTCTTCTTCACTGTTTTCATCTTCCTCCTCCTTTTCTTCTTCCTCAATAGCAACCTCACTGGGGGCCTTGTCTTCCAGGTAGAAATTTTTATCGGCACTCAGTCCAGGAGTTCTGTCAATTACAAACAGCGCACCACCACACGCTGTGTCTTCCAAGTCTCCACGTGCTGACTCCTCCTGGCCACTGTTTTCAACAGAACACACAGTGTCTTTTTCATTCTCACTGTTTTCAGACTGCTGGCTTTCATCACTGCTAAGAAATAATAAAACAGAACTATCCATATCCTGAGACACACTGAGTTCAGACTTGCATGCTTTGGTATCACATTCAAGACCCACATCACTTTGGCGGCTGTTGTTTTCACTGACATCTACACTTGCAGGCTTATTACGGTAACCACGATCACTGAGTTGGGTCAAGTCACTCCTTTTAAGGCTGCCCGCTCTTTCTTCATTCAACCTTTCTATCTTCACAACTGCAAACTTGTACTCTAATGATTTTATTAGAGCCCCATGATTTGGACTTGAAGGCTTCGACATGGCTTCACTATTTAGGATGCTTGAATGATTTTGAGAAACTGACTGCTGAAGGCTGGTGTCTTGAACTTCAGAAAGATTCAATGGGGAACGTTTCTCATTAATTTCTTCTTCTTCTGTCATTTTGGTGTCCTCTTCATCCAGGTTGTTACAGTTCTCCTTCCTGATTTCTGTAAGAGACTCAACACTGGCTTCTTTTTCTTTTTGTATATGTAAACATTGGTGGTTTTGTGTTGTTTGTTTTTTTTCTGAATTTCTGTGGATGGAATCATCAAAGTCATTATAAGTTTCATTATTAGAAAAATTTGGCCTATTTATCTGAGAATGTGGTCTCACTGGTAACTGACAGGTCTGTCTAGTATCTGAGTTCTCTGAATTCACAGATGTACCCATTATTTGCTTTTTATTTCCTGGTACAAGCTTGGTATCTTTCTTCTCAGCTTGGGACTGTAATTCCTTCTGCATATTCCTGGTTGTTCTCCTAGGTGAAATCTCAAATGATGAAATGCCTGAGCACGAGGACTCACCATCAGATATAGCTTCTGCCTGTGATTCTTGGCTTGAATCTCTCTGAGATTTAGCCTTACTTCTTTTGCTTCTTTTTGCGGAAGGTACAACCATTGAAACCCCCGAAGCATGAGACTCTGCTTCAGAAACAACTTCTTCCTCGAGAGACTCATGTTGAGGGGCTATTTTCTGCCTTTTCCTAACACTGGACTTTGGGGTAGGTGCAATTACGACCTTCCTCTTCCTAGTTATTCTTATAATGGGCTCCTGGACCTCAAGCACAGAAGAAACCCCTGAAGCATGAGACTCTGCTTCAGAGACCTCGGCATCAGTGGCCGGTTCTGATATCTCTGATGGTGGGCCTGTATTTCTACTTGTCCTCTTTCTAGAGAGGACTGAACTTTGTTTCTCAGCAGTACTTCTGGCATCGGTTCCTAATTCTTTCTTGCTTTCCAGATGTGTTCCAATTTCTTGAAGAGCAGAACTCTGCAAACCAAAAACAAACACAGTATAATTTAGACAGGGCTGGGACAAGAGCAAGCAAAGCCAATGTGGGATGACCTCAAACGGTAAAACTTAATAAGATACTAAAGAAAGCCAAACTCATGATGAAGTAACTTTTTTTCTTTACTTGCCCCATCCTAGACTTCAGAAAGCAGAACTGAAAAGAGAATTTTCTCCACTTAGGGAGGAAAAAATCCAAATCATTTATCGAGGCCCAGGGGACAGGGGAGTTAAGTACTAATTGGGCGAATATAGTGTATATACATTTAGGAGTGTCTAAGGGAATCCGCTGCTTGCCTGGTTTTTAACCTACAGGAAAGGACTGCTTTATCCTTTAGCACACAATCGAAAGAGCATGGCAGCAGGAGGCAGTCAGAGGCTCTCAGAGACACCACAGCCGCCCTCAATAAGCCAGAGGCGTTCCCCACGTGTAAACGACGCTCCCTCCTATCACACACATAAGGCTCGGGAGTGGTGCAGGAATTAGCCCTCCCCGGCTTTGTCTCAACGGGAAGCTTCATGGGGCTCATCTGCACAAGGCAAGCAACCTACACTCTCGCAAGTGCCCTAAAGACCCTGAGGCCCAAGCAGCTCCCTCGGGGCCGATTCGGCGCAGCACTGTGCGCGCCAGGCTCGTGTCCTCCTCACCCTCCTCCGCCCGGCCGAGCCGCCCTGATAGCGGCGGGGAGACCCGGAAAACCTGGGATCGCTCACCTTCTGCTGGGAGCTTTCTGACGATACTTGGGGCCTGGTCCCAGACAGCCCGGACCTGGTGATCACCATGTTCCCGACTCTGCATTCCCGGCAGCACGCGAGCTTCCTCTGTTCCTACGCTCCGGAATCTTGTTCCGAGCGTCCCCCGCCGTGCCCTCGCCGGCGGCAGAGGCCCTCCTCGCCGTTTTACACAGTGAGTCTTGACTGAAGCCAAAGGGAGACTTTATTTAGTCCTTTTAGAAGTTGAATATAAATAAGCTTTGACTGAGATACAAGGATGTGTGTTAAGTAAGCTTTTAAAAAAAGGAGAGGGTATTTTTGTTTGTTTGTTTGTTTGCAACGGAAGAAAGAGAATGGCCTAAATGAAAAGGCTTTAGGATTTTTTGTTTTTGTTTTTTGTTTTTCGAGACCAGGTCTCTCTACATAACTCTGGCTGTTCTGAAATTCACTGTGTAGACCAGGCTGATCTTGAACTCAAAGATCCACCTGCCCTTGCCTCCCAAGCTGGAATCAAAGGCGTGCGCCTTCACACCTGCTTGAGGTGTTCAGTTTTGTTTTGCAGATGAAAGATGAAGACCTGGAATATGCTGAGAGGCTACAAAGGGGATTGGGGGGCGGGGATTAATGTTGGGAGCAAGAAAAAATATGGCTCGTCAAATTATTTTCCTTCATGTTTTAAACACAAAATATTTTTTCTTAGAAACACATATTTCAGTGGGTACATTACTTCTGAATTAAGTAGTTCCTCTTTGTTCCACTTGGAGGCAGGTATGAATAGTGACCAAGTTTTTTGTTTGTTTGTTTGTTTTGAGGCAGGGTTTCTCTGCATAGCCTTGGCTATCCTGGAACTCAATCTGTAACCAGGCTGGCTTCAAACTCACAGAGATCAACTATCTCTGTCCCCCGAGTGCCAGAATTAAAGGTGCGTACTACCACCATCCAGCCACAGCCAAGTTTTGGTTCTTATAAGTCGTCTTAAAAACATGAGACTCATGCTTACTAAAGTGGTTTGTTTTTTCCTGGAGAATTGTTAAGTCTTTGGTTTTCAAGTAGCCATTGTGTGCCATGATGCAGCCTGTGCTTTAGAAGTAGCATCAAAGTGAAGAACAAGAACATGAGTTCTTGTTAATTGTGGAACTGGAGTCCATCTCCAGTCTTTACACTCTTTAAGACAGGCTAGGCTTAGTGAAAATACTGACAATAGTTAGGGCTGTTATTTTCCAGTTTAGATTTAAAAGAGTTCCATCTTGTTCTCTCAGCCACTTGGGGAAAGGTCACTGCATGATGTGAGCTGCTCTATGGTGAGGACTATCAGGGAAGTTTCTGGCCAAAATAGCCAGCGAGAGACAGTTCTTTAGTCTGATGAACTGTCTAGGAGTGGAATAATGTCATATGCTAAATGTACACTTGATTTCATAAGAAATGCCAAAGCCAGGTATGGTAGTACATGGCTTGCAACCTCAGCACTGGTAATACTTAGACAGGAGGACCCAGGCCAGTCTGAACTATGTAACAAGATAGTGTCTCAAACAAAACAAAACAAAACAAAACAAAAACAAAAAAGAAATGCCCAGGTATTTTCCTTACAGTTTCAGTCTCACCAACATCTGAGAGTTTCATTTGCTCATGTTCTCACCAACACTTGTTGTCGTCAACCTTTACATTTTTTTCATTAGTTTAATCTGCACTTCCCTGCTGATAATAATGTTGAACATTTTATTCAATGCAATGTTCAATGCTGCAGGACCCTGGGTTCAATCTCCAGGACCATTAAAAAATAAAGATTGAATATGAAACGAGTTTTCAGACAAACAGAACCACAAAGTTTACTGCATGTGCTAGTCAGCTGACTGTTGCTGTATCAAAATTTCTGGCTTACAACTTCAGAGATTTATTTGGGCTCATAGTTCAGAGGTTGCAGTCTATGTCACTTTTCCCTGTCCCTTGAGGCTGATGGCAAGACAAAATATGGTGGAGAGTGTGTGACAGGCAGCAAAGTTTTTCACCACATGGTGGTGGAGATCGTGGGGCCATGGTTTGGGGAGGGGGGCACACAGGGCCTTCATCCCTCTTCAAGGGTTCCAATGATTTAACTTCCACTAGGCCCCACTTCCTAAAGTTCCTATCACATCCCTACAGCACCATCAGACAAAGACCAGACCTCCAATACATGACCCTTTGTGGAGCATATAAGATCATATATATGTCATATGTGGTCACATATGGTCATATATATGTATATGATCTAATGAGCACAATATAAGAATCAGCACTGGGCAAAGAAGAGAGCTGACTCAAAGTAATAATTAAGATATGAACCATCTTAAAATGATGGGAGGTGGACACACCAAATACATATATGAAAGACGTGGTAACAAAACACATCCTTTTTTAATTTGCTGGCAATGGATATGCAACCACATCCTAACTGTGGGGCGGGGGTGGCAAGCTTTAGTCTCTTTTATATAATGTGACTTTCCCAAATGTATCTCAACAGAACAAGCCTTTTGTATGTGTGACTGTGTATCCGTGTGCTCGTGGGCCCATACACACACATGCACAGACCAGAGATGTACTTCACTAGGTATCTTTCTCTAGTACAATCCACCTTGTGTTGTGACATAGGTCTAAGTGAACCAGAGCTTGCTGATTGGTGGAGTTGACTGCTTCCAGTGCTGGGATCAGCACTCGACCACCATGCCTGGCTTTTTATGTGGATGCTGGGAGTCCAAATTCACATCCTCATGCTTGCATATGGGGTATCCATGGGAGCCACCTCCCCAGTCCCAGAATCAGATTTTGAAGATGCTTTTATTGTACTGACATGTTTACATATAAATTGCTCATCATTTGATAAATGTTTGCAAATCAGGCAGAGAAGGATCTCTACCCACAATGCTCAACACACCTTGTTCCGACCTGAGCCTAAACGTTAATTCCTTTAGTTAAGTCTTTTTTGTCCTTACCCTCTACCTGTAGCCACTTTCTTCCACATCCCCCAACCTTTTGCCCATTTCTGCCATCATAGCTCTTTATTGCTCTTTGTGATCCCATCTCCTCCCTGTGAACACACTGTGAGCTCTTTAAAGATAAGATTATCTGTGTCCATCTGTAGCATCTTGCGTAACACACAGCACACATGTCTGCTGAGTGAATAAATAGCTTTATGGTTTAGATATTTTTCAATTAACTCACAATTTATTTTTAAATCATATGATTGGAATTCAAATGGCTCAAATCAATGTGATGCTTCCAGATGTTCCCATTTTGCAAACAACTCAAATAAAAAACATATAACTCACATTTTAAGTAATATAAGCAAAATAAAAATTACCTTTAACAATGTCTTGTATTTTGCTTTAGTACACTACAGACATGTAATAGTTCATTATTTCCATTTTCTGTTTCCCTCAACCTGAAAACTATAAAAATATTGTTACATATTTTTGAAAAAAATCAAATTGACATATTTCTTCATCAATTTTATGAAGAGAGGTAATTTTGGAACATTGGAAATTAGTGTTGGAAAAATAGGTTTAGAATTAAAAGGTGGTGTATTTGAGTATAAGAACACAGACTGCACAAGTGATTTTAAGTCTTTGAAAAAATCCACAATTTTCTATCCATACATTTAGTGGGATGAACTGGCAGCCATTATATACCAGTGACCTGTTACTTACATTTCAAAGATCAAAGTAGTTGGTGGTTAGCCTAGGAGGAAACACTTAGATAAAGACATATACTTATCATGAGCCTTAGAACTTTTGTCCCTGAAAAGGAAGATCCTAATTTTGGTTACTACTTGGATCTGATACAGAAAAGTCGAAACTATTCATGCAAAATAGATGAAATAGCTTTTCATTAATTGCTTGTGCAAATAATAACTTCAGTTTTCACTTTACATTTATATATTCTTAAATAATAATTTGTTTTCAAATCATACTGTTTAAATTCAAAAAGTCCAAAATTAATGTGACCCTTTAGGCCCTCATGTTTCCACCATTGACAACCAGATAAAATCATATAGCTCCATGTCCAGATGACCATTTTTTTCAGAACTGAAATCTACTAGCTATTTATGACTCATGGCCTATCACTTAGTCATCTTTAAATGGATAATGTATTAATGTTCTGTCATCAATATGGTCTTTGGAGGCAGGGCATGGTGGCACATGCCTTTAGTCTCAGCACTTGGGAAAGGCAGGCAAATCTCTTCTGAGTTTGAGGCCAACCTGGCCTATTCAGCAAGCTCCAGTACAACCAGGACTACAAAGACCCTGTTTCAAAACAAATGACTTTTTGTCTTTACAATACACAGCACATGGATCTAGCTTATAAGAGACCTTGGTCCTTCTGGCGTCTACAGTCTCCTGGATGGAAATTCAAGGTGAACTCATGGAATAAATCCCAAGTAACACAATGCTGCTGAATAAGGTGCCTGTTGATTCTGGAAACATAGTAAATGTAAAAACCTTTTTTGGGTTTACTTGGAAAGAAATTATACACAAAATCTTTCTACCTTGGGTCACTGCATTCAAATATTATCTGCCATACACAGTATTGATAACTTAGCTTTTCGTTTTAGGCAGTTATTTAGGGAGTATTTTTGAAAGAGCTGTGTGTGTACCATGTGTGTTGACTGGTGCCTCCAGGTCAGAAGGGGACACTGGATCCCCTGGAAGTGGAGATACAGATGTTTGTGAGTCACCATGTTGGTGCTAGAACCTGAATCTGGATCCTCTGCAAGAGTAGCAAATGCTCTTCAGCCCCCAAAGACTCATTTTTAAAGGTTATCCAGTAACTTAAGGACTGGAGTAAAAGAATGTTGTGGAATGTTATTTTAACTGGACAAAGATAACTTACATTTGTTTATGCTTCGGAATATTAACTGTATAAAGGTGTGCTACTTTTATGCTGCATTTATTTAAGTAAGTAAAGATGTGTTTCATTTGTTTCACCTTGCCTTCCAAAGGCACCTGACTGGTCTAATAAAAAGCTGAACGGCCAATAGGTAGGCAGGAGAAAGGATAGGCAGGACTGGCAGGGAGAGAGAATAAAAAGGAGGAGGAATCTAGGCTCGAGAGGAAGAAGTAGAGGACAAGGAGAGAACCAGCGACACACCCAGGGCAAGAAGCCAGGCAGATGCCAGACAGGCAGACATAGAGAAGCAGTGAAAGTAAGATATACTGAAGTAAGAAACGAAATAAACCCCAAGGCAAAAGGTAGGTAAAGAGAATCAGGTTAATCGAAGTTAAAAGAGCTGGCCAGAAACATGCCTAAGCTGGGCCAAGCATTCAAAACTAATAACAAAGTCTCTGTGTCCTGATTTGGGAGCTGGTTGGTGGCCCAGAAGAAAAAGGCTGGTACAAAAGAACAACAGAATTACTTAATTCTACCCATGAGATTTTCCTCTGCACATGAACCCATAATTGTGCTTCCCTCTGATGGGAGAACTTATAAGTTTAAGATACCTTTATTTAGATAAATACCAGCCATACACAAGCCAGAACATGCCAGGGGCTGCCAAGCAGCAAGCCAGGGAGAAGGGGAAGGAGAAGGGGCTTCCATGTGCTCGCTGTACCTTAAGAACCTATGCCTGGTCATTCTGACCTCACCTTGACCACGCCTTCATAGGCGTGGTCAGGCGCACCTGTAGCCAGCCTCTAACAGGCGTGGCAAAAGCATCCCCTAAAATTCCCCTTTTAATCTAAAAGAGGATTAAAACTTAACAGTGTAAAGTATCCAAAATTAACAATCATAAAGGTGAAATACAAGAAGATGTAATAATCCGCTATTGCATATCCTGTCTATTTCAGCTAAACCCTAAAGTCATCTGCCAGGTGATGGGACAGCTTGTAGGTTTAATATACCTTTACTTAGATAAATACCAGCCAAATGCACCAGGTGATGGGAGAGCTTGTAGGTTTAATATACCTTTACTTAGATAAATACCAGCCAAATGCAAGCCAGAACGTGCCAGGGGCAGCCGAGCAGCAAGCCAGGGAGAAGGGGAAGGAGAAGGGGCTTCCATGTGCTCACTGAACCTTTGCTGCGTCGTTCTGACCTCACCTTGACCACGCCTGTTGTTGTCCCCTACACATCCCTGTTGAGAGTGGAAGAGATATTCTTAAACAAGCTCTGGCTAACATCTGGATACATCAGCAAAGGAAGGTTTGGTTTTTGTTTTCTCACATTGTCAAAGAAGCCCTTCAAAAGCAAGGTTTTAAAAAACAATAAAGTTAATACCAAAATTCCCCTCAGAGCAGCTCAGCCAGCTCACTGCACAGATTTAAAATACAACATATATTTAAAGAAAGATTTATGCCATATGAAAATGCATACATTTCCAAATTTAAGTTACCTATATATTTAGCATTATACACAATGTAGTTATAGGCTTTCAGCTCGAATTCTACACAAGTTTTAGCAGGCAAATCAGTTGGTTTCACATAATTCTAATTGAGAAAACCATCCAATCAGTACCACAAAGCCTTACTTAGGAAAAAAGGTCGACTGTGTTGACTTAACATAGACTATAGTTCGAAGATGAAAATTTCTGAGCAAAATGTTTTTACAAGGCCTCTTTAAGAATACTGACATACAAAATCTCTTTTAAAGAAAAACCGAGACTGGCTAACAAGCACAAATTCATACCTAAGACCCTTTAATGCACTACAGGTAAGCATCATGGCTTCTTTGCAAACTTTCAGTTTTTAAACTAGTATGAAATTAAACTGAATGATTCCCCTTGGCCTTTTCTGACTTTACTCCCTCCCTGTCAGTAATTAACAGGTATAGATAACATATGTTTTACTTAGCTTATTGTTAAGCTGTCTCTCCAGAGCCCACAGTACCAAAAGCATGCAACGGAGTTAGTGAATACTCTTGAATGAGCAGCAACACACTAAGAATGTGTTAGGAGTTGCAAAGAATCTCAAGATCACAGTTGTTGCTTTTATAAAATTCCCAAACAATAATGTGAAAGCCTCAAGCCTCTTTTTCAGATTCACTTTGGCTTGGGTTTGTAAATAACAGGTAGAAGAAACATGACACAGAGCACATGGTGAAATCATAGTTAGGCTGAAAGTAAGAACACACAAGATTAAGTTTCCATTCATGGATCAAAGAATGAATTTTATTTACATTACTAGTAGATCCTAGCTGCTGTAGTTACACTGAGATAGGTTACTTTGCCAATAACAGGAAAAAATATCTTCCAGTATCTATTTTATCAACTGTAATTTAATTGCTTAGTTATAGAGTATAGAAGTATAGAGTAAGAAGCAATTAATGAATCTTGGAAATAAAAAATATGTATATATATCACCCTGATGCCTAAGCCAAAATATATCTAAAAACAAATTTTCTTGATTTCTATTACTCATAAAAATAAAGGAAATATATTGCAAGTATTTTTCTTTATAGACAATTTCAGTTAGAAAACAATAGTTTAATGAAAACAGTACAGCAGTTCCTGTGACTGTGCTGATGCGGAGGCAAGAGAAGTATTCGAAACTTGACAACACATTGCCAAAACATCACGTGCCTCAATGACACTTCCTATAGGCAACAGCTAGATTTTACACATTTCAATTTGATCTTGTGGAATTTTTATCTTCTGTTTGAGATAAACACGGGTCAGTAAGCACTGAGCTTGAGTTGTAGTTACGATCCCCTTCTTTTGGCTTGTAAAATGTAGCCTTTTGACTTGATGATTCCTCTGCTTTTCACAATGACAGAGTATCTCAGCAGCCACAGTGGCACCCATTCCTGGGCTTCGATGTCAGGGATGCTCTCCTGAAGGGCTTCTTGGAAACTTGCCTCTGAAAGCAGCTCTGAAACAGCAACCCCAATAGTTAGGGCTGACGACAAAAGCTCTTTACTGTGTAAGCAAGCACTGAAACACAATAAAACTGAATACAGGCTCAGAAGTTAGCTGGCTGGCAGAATGCTTGCCTAGAATGCACCTGGTATTGTTTACCCCACCCACATAGACCAGCTCTGATAGCACACAGCTGGAACTTGGGGGTGAAAGCAGGGGGCCCAGAAGGTTAGGTCATTCTTGGCTATACAGTGGCCTCTGGGCCAGCATGGCTGCAGGAGACCCTGTCTCAAAACACAAACAACAAAATGAATCTAAAAGGCATATATCCTCTATTAAACCCGACCAGTTCTTTAAAAACACATTCCTGTACCCCAGCCTCTTTAATTCACAACTTCTGGTTACTGGAGCCTGCAATTTCTGAAGACCATGTACTCCAGGGGACTCATGTACAACCAGGAAAAATACCCTATTTACAGCATTCCTATTACTATATATTTCATCAGGGGTTTTTCTAGGATTTATCCATTTACACACACTTAACACACACAAAGAGAGACAGAGAATGAATCACAATATTATATTTAATTACATTGGAAAATACTAACAAGTGCAAAAGGTCTACAAGTGCAAAAGTAACTACAGGGGGATTTAACTGCCCCATTAGTATATTTGGTATATAGCATAACATATTCTTCATCACCGGCAAAAAAAAAAAAAAATTAGTTATTTCTATCACTTTGAACTTTTGTTTTGGCCACAGCATGATAGTTAAGTATATTCATCAGCACGTTACTCCCTTTACTTTCTTTAAAAAAAAAAAGTGGGGTCTGGAGAAATAGTTAAGTTCATAGGATCCCACCAACTGCTTTACAACTCCACCATTACAGAAACAAAAATAAAGATGTGTATGTTTTAAATTAACAATAATATTTCCATTTAAAAACACTGTACGTTTATCACAGCACACACTTAAAATGTCAACATTTGTTTTCTTTTTTTTTTTTAAGGATTTATTGTTTATTATGTATACAATGTTCTGCCTGCATGTATTCCTGCACACCAGAAGAGGGCGCCAGATCTCATTATAGATGGCTATGAACCACCATGTGGTTGCTGGGAATTGAACTTAGAACCTCTGGAAGAACAGCCAGTGCTCTTAACCTCTGAGCCATCTCTCCAGCCCTTGTTTTCTTTTTTAGAACTTGTGTGCATTATGTTGGAGATCAAAACCAGGCTGTTGTGCCTTCTATCATTGGCCTGTACTTCCAGCCCACTAAACAAGTAGCTTTGTCTTCCAAGAGCTCATGATCGAGACCTATAGATGAAAATATCAGTCTTACCTTTTGGGTCATTATGAGTCAGTAGCTGTATGTCAAACTGTTTAGCAAATGCAGTCAAATCTGGTGGCATCACACAGCAGGAGGCAAGATTAACTTGATTACTATTTGGTTTTACCTAAAAGTAGAAATAAAATGAATTGTATTAAATTATGTCACAAGAGAACACAGAAAGCAGAGAACTACTATTCACAGTAGCTAAGAAACAGAACCAGCCTACGAATCCATCAACAGAATGGGTAAAGAAAACGTGACACATAAAGGTCACCAAAAAGGAAAGGAAACAATGACACTGGCAAGAAAATAAATGGACTTAGAAACTGTTACGTGAAGTGAAATAAGCCAGATTCAGAAAGGCAACACTGCCCATTTCTTCACGTGTGGGATTTTCATGGCAGGCTCTGTGTACGTATGTGTATATGTGTGTCTGGGTCATGAAGCTAGATCCTGAGGGGCTGAAAGAGAATAATGGAATACAACCGGGAGGAAAGGTAGGAGCCCCACAAGGGAGAATGGTGAGAGGGGAATTAATCAGAACTTAGTATAATATGTATGAAGATTCTATAATGAAGCCTATTGCTTTGTATGTTTACTTAGACAATTTTGTCTCTGTCTGCACACGTGTGTAGACTGGTGCATGTGGAAGTCAGAGGTTGGTATCAGGTGTCTGGGGTCTCTCACTGAGCCTGGAGCTCACTAATTTGGCTAGGCTGCTGGCCACCCACCCATCTCCAGGGAATCGTCCTGTCTCATCTCCAGGCACTGGTATCACAGGCAGGTGTTGCCTGGCTAGGTGTTTTCATGTGTGCTTTGTTGGGGTGCTAGGAACTGAACTCAGATCCTCATGCTAATATAATAAGTACTTAACTAAGCCATTTCCCTAGTCCACTTTTTAAAAAAGAGCAATACATTTTAGGATATAAAACCATATTTGACAATTCATTTATAAAATGCTTTTGCATGTATTAATATGTGCCTTCTTAATCTGTGTTAGTGATAACTAGGATGAGGGAAAGCCAATACAGAATTACACTCACCACTGGAGTCATTAATAATCTAGTGCACCTGCCTCTGAAGCAGTGCTTCTGAGGGCAATGGTTTTATCAACAGGAAATCTATCTTAAGGTAGACCCTGAATGTCAAGGTTTCAGGCATACACGGAGACTCCTAACTTCCAGCAGCTGCAGTAGCCACAGTTACACACTTCCCAGAGCAATACGTCTCCAGCTGTGTCTTGGCCACATATTGCTACCAAGTCAACAAGAGAAGGAACAATATTTCCTATTGTCTTCCTACTTGTCATCGACTCTGACAGGTCTGAGTAAGCAGCAGAGAATGAAATAAAAGGAATAGAGACAAGATACAGGAAGTGAAGGTAACGTGCTGGTTACCTCCCTCATAATTTTGTAGGTTCTTAGAGTGGAAATGATGGCTTTATGAATCCTTTTCCATATCAGGTTCTATAGACTAAGTCTAATACCTCTCTACTTAATAGAAAAATATTGTTACATATATTTCCTTACTTAAGAAATCAGAGGCATAATACCCAAAGTGTAATATTTTCATCACACATAGCACTGATGAATGGTTTTAATTTACTTGCTCTGAAAACCTAGTGTTTAGTGTTTTCTTCATTTTAAGTGGGATGGATACTCAGTTCAATTAGACATTTTAAACTCAAAATCCCAAGCTCCTAAATGCTTTAGATAAAGCCTGCCTCAAAGCTCCCACACTTAGAGGTCACCCCACAGTGTCGGGATGTGGACGCCTTTTACCTGTGCCCACTGGTACAGCTGCTCCAGCTGTGTTTTGTCTAGGTCAGAGGTGCCTATAGCAACAATTTTCTTATTCTGAACTAGGTTTTCTAGTTCCTCCCAGTAAGGCTGCAGATGCTCCAAGGAAAGATTAACTCCATCTTCAATGGGAGGTGAAGCAATGATGACAGAGTCCAGTTGTGCGACTCCCAGGACGGAGCACGCTGATGGAAAGGAAGACACAAAACGGAGAAGTGTGTGTTACATACTAAAAACAAGTATTACGGTCTTCAACGTTTTCCACTGAATTCCATCTATGACATTAACTACTTTTGGTCCAATAGATTACTGAATAATTTACCTGTCATTTAAAACATGTGTATAAGTGCCCATTCACCTACTTCTCTTGCAGCAGATAAGAGGACTCTGGCCTGCTCTCTTACTTGTGGTTTTCCTTCCTTTATTTTTACCTAACCAATGCTGAAAATGAATTCACAGTATTTGTATTTTGTCTCTGATTTAGTATTTTATATATAGTGTAATATTTAAAGGGCTAATAAATGATTGCAGAGAAATTCTATCTTCAAGCAGATAACATGTAATACATCTTTTACATTTCTATCAAAATATCACTGTGTAAGTGAAGACTGGTTCTATGCAAGTCTTAAAAGTTAGGCTAAAGTTTAAATGGAAAAATTGATCTTTATCTAGATTGGCTGTAACTAACTTAAGATAGTTAAAACTCTATTATTATAAAAAAGATAAATTTTTGCTTACCCATATCAACTGCACTTCTAGTTGATGATGAAGAATTCGATCCTACAATGAACAGTTTTGCTGGATAACAAAGAAAAAGCTGATTACCACATGTATCCACACCTTACTATTCACTCCTGTGTCACAACCTAGTGTGCACAGTGTGTCCACACCTTACTGTGCACTCCTGTGTCCACACCTTACTCTGCACAGTGTATCCACACCTTACTGTGCACTCCTGTGTCCACACCTTACTCTGCACAGTGTGTCCACACCTTACTGTGCACTCCTGTGTCCACATCTTAGAATGCAGGATTACCTTGACAGGAATTGGCTTTCTTTTCCTACTTCTGTAATTGTATAGCTCCACTTTAAGACAGACACATGCACTTTCATTGTAAATTTTAAATTACATGCTAGTTGTCAACATGTTTATTTCTCAAGAATAAAACAAACAATAATTCCCACACATTACAGTGCAGGGTAAATAGGACCCAAAGTTATTTTAAATGTCTATTTTTATAAGCTAAGCATTACAGACCAATTATGTGCCTTCTATAATAAGCCAAATCTAAGCAAGCCTCAAAGTGTGTAATGAGAAGAGGAAAATACATCCATACGTACATACATATCCACGATACAAAGTATGGTATAGCTTTTTAAAGCTCTAGTAGGTTTATCTTTTAAATTTTTTAAAAATTACTTTTAGTCATGTGCATGTGTAAATGTGTGAGTGCTGGTGTCCTTGGAGATCAGGTCCCCTGGAGCTGCAGTTACAGGATGTGTGCTGCCTGACATGGAATCTGGGAACCCAGCTCCAGTCCTGTGTAAGGAATGTGTGCCCTTCCCTGCTGATCATCTCAGAGCCCCATTTGGTTTATCTTTGTGTGGCAAATATTCTGTATGTGAGTCTATGTAGTAGCTATCTTAAAGTTCTAGGTAATGATGTGCTTAGTCCCAAATGAGGAAGATCAAAGGAGAAAAAGCAAAACAGAAGCGAGAAGTATTACCATGCAAAGCTTTTATGTAGTCACTTCTTTTGTTTCCCTTCAGTGCTGCAGATCAAACTCATATGTATGTATAGAACCCTGGTCTCCAGCCTTTGTTTTTAATGCTTAATTTTACACACTAAAAAAATTATTTTGGGGCTGGAGAGATGGCTCAGTGGTTAAGAACACTGGCTGCTTGCTCTTCCAGAGGTCCTGAGTTCAATTCCCAGCAACCACATGGTGGCTCACAACCATCTGAGATCTGGTGCCCTCATCTGGCCTGGAGGAATACATGCAGGCAGAACACTGCATATATAATAAACTTTTAAAGATTATTTTGAGACAAGGTCTCCTTTTATAGCCAGTCTTCCTTCAAGATCACAATCCTCCTGGAATGACGGGACTGCAGGTGCACTAACCAACCCTGTTTTTACTTCTTATTCTTGGCATCTTATTCTGCAATCTGACAGGGTGTAGTTCACTAAATGGGTTCCTGCCAGCGCAATATTTTGATAGTAAATATTTCAGTGGCAGCTCCAATTTTTGTTATATAAACAACTTGGTAACTTTTTATTCAACTTTATACTGATTCATTTCCCAAGGAAGAGCTGTTAGAAATGTGATTCTGAGTAAAAAGGACTGGTTGCACCTTGTGTTTTCCTGATGGGGGATGTCCTTCTGTGTATGTTTCTTTTATTGGTTGATGAATGAAACACTATTGGGCTAATAGAGGCAGGAAGATAGGTGGGAGTAGGAGACGAGAAGAATTCTAGGAAAGGTAGGCAGAGAGAGACGCCATGTTTTGAGGAAGGAAAAACAGGTCCAGACCCTTCTCTGGTAAGATAAGACCACGTGGAAATTAAATTAATAGAAATTGGGTAATAATTAAGACAGAGCTAGCCAATAAGAAGCCCTAGCCATCGGACAACAGTTTAATAATTAATATAGCATCTCCGTGTGTTTATTTGGGGCTAATGGCTTATCATTCAGAGGTGTAGTTCATTATCATGGAAGCTGGGAATATGGCAGCATGCAGGCAGACATGGTGTTTGAAAATTCTACATCTTGATCCAAAGGCAACAGGAAGTGAACTGTATCACTGAGCATGGCTTGAGCATGAGACCTCAAAGCACCCCGCCCCAGTGACAACAAGGCATACCTACTCCAACAAAGCCACACCTCCTAATAGTTCCACTCCCTATGAGCTTATGGGGCCAATTGCATTCTACCACAACACTCATGCACAGTACTAGTGTTCAACATATGCAACAAATGTCCTTGTGTACTTGTTTATCTGTCCCCTCTTTTCTACTACTAGATTGTCCTAAAACATCTGGATCCTGGTGTGACTCCTGACAAGCAGCCATTATGACTCCCATAGCAGATAAGTCAGTGTTCACTAACCAAGTCCAGCTTTAGCACCCACAGTACACACTGAAAAACTTTCCCTGGCTGGGGTACAGCTTGATGGGAAAGCATTTGTCTTGCATTCGTGAAGCCCTAGGTCTCATCTTCCTCCCCTTGCAACAAAGAAAATACTCTCACTACTAGTCCTTGGTGCCTAAATTTTACCATCTGGAATGGCCTTTTCTCCCTCTCTGAAGGATAGGATACATCGAGATAGAAAGGAGCAAGCTTCTCTTATGGTAAGAATTTTATTACCTCCTATCAAAATTCTCAAACCCTACAAGAATGGAGGACAACTTAGAGTGGGCCCAGAACAGTGATGAATTACATACAGTCAGCTACACAAGAATATTGGCTGTATTCCTTTCCTACATAAGCAGTGACATGAAATTAGCAGAAAACACAGGTTTTGAAGTCAGGCATACCTCCATAGCCTGCTGGTTCATCAATTCACTGGCTGAAAAACAGCCTTCTTTTTTCTTCTTTTTTAACTGGTGGGGTTCATTATGTTGCTAGGCTGGCTAAAACTTCTAAGCCCCTGTCACAGCCTCCTAAGTAGCTGGAATTACTGTTGTGTGTCATTATCCCAAGGTCTATGCTAACTTTCATGTTGATTAATGTCACTGGTGTGGTGGGGATAATAGTCCTGAAAGGTTTGTTTTGATAAGTGTATGAGGAAATATAATCATAAAGGGACAGTTCAGTGCTTAGCATAAAGCAAGACTCAACTGATGGTATTATGATTGGAATGAAAAGGCCATTCCTGTCTCGTTATCCCATCATACATGTCCATGTCAATATGTTAGCAAACAAATTATTCATTACTACCTTGTGGCAAGCACTGCCATAACTATGTGCCTCCTTTGTTATCCCATCCATAATATAAAGAAGCCTGTGAAATAATTGTATCCCATTGTAGAGATAAACAAATTGAGGCTTGGAGCGGTTGAACATTACATTATTCTAGGCAGTAATCTACATCCAGGAACTTGAATCTAGGCAAGCTCAGGGCTTTAATAAACTCTGCTATGCTGTCTATCAGCTGAGGGCAGAAACTTAACTTTTCACTGGTGCCTCCTGAAATGCTGCTGTGACTGACAAATGCTGAACATAAGTATTACTCTCTTCCTGCATAACTGGTTGCCCAGACTTCCTTCTGTACTTCCAGGCAGCCCCAGTACTTCTTACCAGCACCCCAGGAAAGGGAGGTTTGTTCTGCACATTCCCTCTCCTCTCTGTTTCCCACTTTAATCTTTCTAATGCTGAGTACACATAAATCACACAGACATAGAAACATCAAGAGAAACATCAAGAGGAACAGTAAGTGGAAGTTTCATTCTGACTCCACGGTCCTCAGCTCTGACTTCCTATAACTCACCCTTAAGAGCTGAAATTAGGGGCTGGAGAGATGGCTTAGTGGTTAAGAGCACTGGCTGCTTTCTAGAGGACCCTGGTTCAATTCCCAGCACCCACATGGTAACTGTCTGTAACTCCAGTTCCAGGGGATCTGACAGATTTACACCAATGCACATAAAATAAAATAAATTTTTTAAAAAACTGACATTACTAATGACCGACTCACTAGATGTCAGAAGGAAGGATTTACTCTCATGTGCCTCAGTCCACAGCATAGGAGAGTAAACTGAAAAGGGTGGAGCTTACCAGAAACTTTCATTTCCTCTCTTTCATCGGGGTTTATCTTCTCAACTGCGTGAGACACAGTGCATTCCAAGACATCTGGAAACTCCTGCAGGAAACACAAAGTACAATGGACATAAAATGAGTACTGTTGATTGTAAAGTTTCTTATTGTCCTAAGCACTTCAGAAGCAATGGTTCTTTTTGAGGTCTAATGGGCTTTCCAAGCGTAAAGTACAGGTGTAAAGGTTAAGTGTGTGCATGTGTTTTTATTTTTTGAGAAAAAAGTCTCATTTTGACCAGTAAAGAGTTATATGAAGTGTTAGAATCACTGGCACAGGAAATAATTTTACTTCAAAATTAATCAATGAAAATTACCTATTTTGAATAGTGACATGTTAAAATCTTTTTAAAGATCTTCTTTATACTAAGTGTCTTAATTGCTGTTCTATTGCTGTGAAGAGACACCATGACCAAGGCAACTCTTATAAAAGAAAGCATTTAATTGGGGGCTTGCTTAAAGTTTTAGAGGGTTAGTCCATGACTATCATGGCAGAAAGCTGACAGGCAGGGCACTGGAGCAGTATCTGAGACCTTTGCATCCTGATCTACAGGCAGCAGGCAGAGAGAGAGACTGCGCCTGGCATGGCGCACTCCCATGTCTATGCCCACTCCCAATGACATGCCTCCTCCAACAAGGCCACACCTAATCCTTCCCAGCAAACATATGAGCCTATGCCATACCAAAGGCTTGGTATCCTTACTTGAGCAGACGGACACATCTAATGGTGTGCAGCTATTGATCTAGCAAATGCTTTTCTCTCGGTACCTGTCCATAAGAACCACCAGAAGCAGCTTACTTTCAGTTGACAGGTCAGCAGTATACCTTGACAGATTTAGCTCAAGGATATATTAACTCTTCAGCCCTCTGTCATAACTAGTTAGAGGGATCTTAGTCATCTGTCTCTTACATGAAATATCAGACTGGTCTCCTATATTGATGATATTATGCTGATTGGACCAAGTGAGCAGGAGGCAGCAACCACTTTGGACTTGTCGGTAGCACATATGTGCATCAGAGGATGGGAAATAAATCCAACCAAAGTTCAGGGGCCTCTACCTCAGTGAAATTCTTAGGAGTCCAGTGGTGTGGACCATGCAGAGACACTCCTTCCGAGGTGAAGGATAAGCATTGCACCTGCCCCTCCCACCACCGAGAAAGAAGCACAGCAGTTACTGGTCCTATCTGGATTCTAGAGACAGCATGTTCCTCACTTGGGTGTGTGACTTTGGCCCTTTATACTAAGTGTCAAGGAAAGCTGCTAGCTTTGTGGGGGCCTGGAACAGGGCTCTGCAACAGGACCAGGATGCTGTGAAGGCTGCTTTACCCCTTGGACCACATGATCCAGCAGACCCTAGTGTACTTCAGGTGTCAGTGGCAGATAGGGATGTTGTTTGGAGCCTTTGGCAGGTCCCTATAGGTGAATCACAGAAGAGATCTTTGGGATTTGGGAGCAAGGTTCTACCATCATCTGCCCACAACTACTCTCCTTTTGAAAGCCACTTTTGGCCTGCTATGGGCCTTAGGGGTAACTGAATGTTTTACAATGAACCACCAAATCACCATGAGATCTGAGCTACCCATCATAAGCTGGATGTTATTGAACCCACCAAGTCATCAAGTAGGACATGCACAGAAGCAATCTATTATCAAATCAAAGTGGTATATTCATGATCAGGCCCAAGCAGGTCCTGATGGCACAAGCAGGTTACATGAAGAAGTTGTTCAAATGTCTGAAGAGTCAAAACCCACTCCCCAATGACACACCTCATCCAACAAGGCCACACCTCCTAATCCTTCCCAACAATCATATGAGCCTATGGATAGCTATTCTCATTCAAACCACCACACCAACTTAAACAAATCACCTTATCATTCAAGCTTTAATCTGTTAGGTAACATAGCTGCTTTTTCTTCAAAAAAGGTTTTTAACAGCAACTGTAGGGGGGCTGGAGAGATGGCTCAGAGGTTAAGAGCACTGACTGCTCTTCCAGAGGTCCTGAGTTGGGTTCCCAGCAACCACATGGTGGCTCACAACCATCCGTTATGAGATGTGGTGCACTCTTCTGGTGTGCAGATACACATGGAAGCAGAATGTTGTACACATAATAAATAAATAAAATAAAATAAAATAAAATAAAGAGCAACTGTAGGTTCCCAGCAATACTGAACAGGAAGAACAGAGCTTTCTCATTCACCTCCTATTTCTACACACACTTTGCCTCCCCCATTATCAGCACCCCATCAGAGTGCTTCACCTGCAGTCATTTAGTAGGTACCCTTTCCAGGTCGGCGGCTTTCACTTAGCGATATGCTCTGCAGGTTCCTTCATGTATTTGCTGGCTTGATAGCTCATTACTTTTCAGGACTTGGTAATATCTCATTGCACAATTTGTATCTCCATTTGTCTACTGAAGAACATTTAAATTACTTCAAACTGTTGTCAATTATTGACAAAGCTGGCACAAACATCCCTGTATAGGGTTTTTGTATGCATAAATACTCAAGTCCTTTGGGCAGATACCAATGCATAAGACTGCTGGACTATATCACAATAGTATATTCAGTTTTGTAATCACAAATAGTTCTTTTCTTAAATATAATTTTTTAAATGGCAAGAGCCATCCCAATACATTACAATGAATAATTTATTAGCATAGCGATAAAAGAATAGCATCTATCATTCAGAAACAAATTGCCTAAGATCTAACAAAGCAAATAATGTCTTCCTTGTGGCTCCTATACACATTATCATACCCAGCACAAAGCAGTACAAAGCATTGACAAAGTCAGACACAGATAGAAGAGACCATTATTTCAGATAAACAGACATTAACCAATTTCTGTATAGCAGCTAGATGGTTAAAAATAGTACGCCCAAAGGAACCAGTATTTCCAACATATTTTCTTTGTTTGAAACAGAGTCCCACTATGTAGCCAAGGCTACCCTGGAACTTTCTCTATAGCCCAAGCTGGCTTCAAACTTAAGCTTCCCAAAGGCTGGAATTACAGACATATGTCTGGTTACTCTTCCATGCTTTTAAGTAGTGTATGACTGAACACGAGCCTCTGTCTCTCTCTGTTGGATTTCTGAGCAGCTGCAGAAACTTACTGGGTCTGTTAACTTTTTTGAAAATAGCAGGTATTGACATTTAATGAAGTATATAGTCCCTTACTGTTTTCATAAGAAGCTGACGTTTAAAAAGTTGTTCCTACCTATATTATTGGGGTGACATTCTACTGAAGCCACCTACCAGCCAAAGTTGGTAATCATTCTTCTACTAGACCAAATCTTAACTGGAACGAAACACCAGTGGATGAGGAAACTGCAGTGGGAACTAAGCAGGGAAAACTAAATTTGGAACTGACTGGAGACCAGATATTCTGCTGCATGCTCAACCCTACAAGAGCAGACTGCCACTTCAGCAAAAGAGCCACAAAGAGCTTCATGGCCAACTGCCTACTGGACTTACTTCACCCACCAAACTGGGAAAATCAACTTCCTGCTGACGTCACATCTGCTTAGGCCTGCATATTTCTGCATTCAGATTCCACTTACCCTGACCAAATCGGGGCTGATCTGGGAACTCCACTCATTCAAGGTCTTCTGGATACAGTCTCGAAGCTGCAGAAAGAATAATTTTCAAAGTTAATTAACAGCTCTTCACACCCAGTAGTACTTCAGTAAAGAAGTACCAGGAAGTGAAGGAGGGGAGAGGTATTAATAGAAAACACTATACAAACCCATGTTTAATTCTCTAAGATTTTTGCTTCCAACACTATAAATTCAAACCTTGTTTTATTTTATTCTTAATTTTTTGAGACAAGAGTCTCTCCACATAGTCCTGGCTGTCCTGGAACTCACTGTGTAGACCAGGCTGGCCTCAAACTGAGAGATCCTCCTACTTCTGCCCCCTGAATACTGTATTAAAATGAACCACCACATCCGGATTTCAATTCATTCTTGGCTGAAAGTGATAGTTCAATTATTTTGATGGCAATTTTGTACCAGTGAAACTTTAAGACATTAAAGTATTCATAAAGAAACAAAAAATTTATTTCAAGAATAAGGTTATAAAAAGACTTAGGCCAGGTTGTAGTGGCACAAAACTATAATTCCAACACTCAGGAGTCTGAACAGAAGTCACATAAACCACCATGTCACCATGCTACCTCAAAAACAACTAATGGGCTGCAGAGAGGGCTCAGTAGTTAAGAGCACTTGTTGCTCCTACAAAGGAGTTGGGGTCAGTTCCCGGCACCCACATCCAGCAGCTCCCAACTACCAGCAACTCCAGTACCAGGGATCCAGCCTGGCTTCTGGCCCGTGGACTACTGCATGCATGTGGTGCATATACAGACAAGCAGCAACACACACATGCACTAAAATAAAGATAAATTTTCAAAAAGAAAGACTATGTGTGGCCAGAGGAACTTCTACATTAGATTCCCCTGTGTGATATTATTAAAAATTCAAACCTAAGGCTGGAGAAATGGCTCAGTGGTTAAGAGACCTGGCCATTCTTCAGAGGTCCCAGGCGCAATGCCTAGGACCCATACAGCAGCTCACAACTGTCTGTTCCCTCCAGTTTCAGATGATCCAACACCCGCTGCTGGCCTCCACTGGTATCAGGCACGGAAGTGGTGCACTGACATGCATGCAGGTGAAACACACACACACACATACATAGTTAAAGAAAACCAATCTGGCTCAGGGATACAGCACAGTAACAGAGCAGCTGAACAGTCCCCAGCACCAACACACATAAACATCCAAACTCTGAGCTCAATCAAGGATCTGCCAACCAGAACTTTCATTTTAACAAACATTGCAATCACTACATAATTCTACAGCCTGAAAGCTACCAGCATGGATCACCTTGCATCATGACAATCTGTAAGTCATCTCCTAACACAAAGGGACACTTCCTACCTTATCTTATAGAGTATTTTTTTCACTTTTAATGTCATCTTTTATTCCAAATACTTAAATAGTCAATGTAGAAAGTGTATAAAAATAATGGGAACTTTTGCCTATTCTATATTGTCCTGGTCACTGTAAATTTATAGTAAGTCTGCTTCTCTTTCAGTGTTGTGCTGGATATTGGAAGATTTGCCTCCCCAAATAAACTTCAGTTTCTTGTTGTTCATAAGATAACTTGCTGGGATTTGGCTTAGAATTGGCTTCAGTCTGTTAGGGAGAACTGACTTCTGAGATTAATGAGTGTTATCTATGCACACGAAGTATCTCTTAGTTACCTGGCTTCTTTCCTCACCTTTAAAAGTTTTGTTATTAGGTACTTCTCACATATTTTGATAGATTTATAATTATTTATAAAGTATTTTTATGCTAGTATCATTGTATGTTGTAAATTAAAATATGCATTTGTATTTATCTCAATGTCAATGATAGTAGTCTCATATAAGATGCATATTTACTTTAATGAGTGAAGACCTAGATATACATAGCAAAAATATTAGAAAATGTTTTATTACTATATACCACACATGTTAGTGGCATCTATTCTAGTAAGAAAAATATGCCATTTCATTATTCACCAAACTTATTCTCAAGTTTTTATTAGATTTATTCATTTTATTTCTTTGTGTTTGGCCTGCATGTATGTGTGTACACCATGTATGTGCTTGAAGCCCACAGAGATCAGAAGAATGCATTAGATCCTCTGGAACAGGAGTAAAAAGGCTGTGAACCATCAAGTGGGTCCTGGAAATCAAACCCCAGGCCTCTGGAAGAGTAACAAGTGCTCCTAACTGATGAGCCATCTCTCCAACCCCTCAACTTAACTCATTTTTTAAAAAATGTATTGTTTTATTATGTGTGGGTAGTCAAAGGACAGCGTCTGAGGTAAGTTCTCTCCTGCCTCGGGAATCAAGCTCAGGCTGTCCTGCCTGGAGGCAAGTGACTGGCTGAGCCACCTTGTAGCCTGGCCCGAAACTTATTTTTGATCACTAATTAACCAACTCTGGCAGCTATAAATCACTGCTTTAAAGATTACCAAGGGCACAGTGGTTCACATTCTATGGGCAATCAATGAAAAAGGAAATGAGTAACTAAAAGCCCCTGAATTGCAAAAGCATTTGCTTATAGCAATAGGGCGAAATTTTTGAACTCACTATCTCAGCTATGATTGCTTATGATAAAGACTGATACAACATGCATTTTTATCACTTCTCTGTACAGATAATTACAAGGGACAAGAGGGTACCTATTCAAGGTAACAGAGCCACTTATGTTAATATTTGTGCCACCCACAATACCTCCCCGGATTTGTTACAAGCTCTGTATTGTCATACAAAGCATAATTAAATTAAACTGAGTCAAATGAAAGTCATCTGATAAGCCTTTCCACATAATTACAAATATGTATGTGTATTTCTTTTTTAAGTTCTGGAGGTTTTGTTTTTGTTTTACAAAGAATTAAGTTTCATTATTGTGTTTTTCAAAACAGAATTTGTTTTGTTGTTTCTTTTCTCCTTACTCCACATTCCTCTCCCTCCCTCACATCCTCCTTCCTCAATCCCTCTCTATTTTTTTATGCACACAACCTTTTGTCCCCCTTTTCAACACCTCTTGTTCCCCTCGTGGCCCTCTAGTGTTAGTCTAGAGTCCCTCACAACTCCTCATTTATACACCGTGTGCATGTGAAGAAGTCAGCATCCTCTTACAGACTAGAAAGCGCTGAGGCGACAGGACTGATGAGAGGTTAACAATTCAAGGCGCAGTGCTTTAGCTCCCATCTTGGACATATTGTAAAGTGCTTCCCTCTGGGAAGAGGACGGGTTTATACAGCGAAGTGCAGCTGATGAATCCCTCAATCCAAGAAGATGAGCTTATCTTCAAAGGAGTGCCTCTTTTCTGAAACCTTTTTTTTTTTTTTTTAAAAATCAGTCTTGGATTCTGGACAAATTGTAGAAAAGTTCTACAGTTAATTACTTGAGAAATTCATTAGTTGTAGCTTAAACATAATTTTTAATCTTATAAATTACATATTATCTATATTGCCTGAATATTCACCTTGGATTTTTCATTTCCTAGTCTCTTTAGTCTTATGATACTCACACAAGATCATTAAAGATAAATTATAACCACAACTTAGCCAGTAGATCTGGAACAATGTAACAACTTAAAAACTACCACACAATTCTATTGGTCAAACACACACTACATGTCCTTTTGGGGGGTGGTAGAGTTGAGTCTGATATAGCTCCCAAATAACCCTGCTGCTTCTACTTCCCAAGTGCAGGGATTCTAGGTGAGCACCACCAAGCCCAGTTTTCCTGTCCAACTTTTGACATTCCAACACTACAATGCTGTCATGTACAACAGTCAGGCTCCAGAACCACACAAAAGAGTTACAAATAAATGTTTTCAGTATGTTTACAATTTTGTGTTAGGCCACATGTGCTGGTTGTATGTGGCCGCATGGGCTGTAGGTTGGACAGTACTAAACAAGCAAAAGTCTCACAGAGACTTTTCATTTCGTTAAAAACCAAACAGGATGTGGTGCTGGTTTAGAGTCTCAGCACTGACAAATGAGTAAGAGTAAATTTATTTTTCTTTTTAGAGACATGGTTTCTCTGTGTAACTCTGTAGACCAGGCTGGCCTCAAACTCATAGAGATCCACTTGCCTCTGCCTCCTGAGTGCTGGGATTAAAGGCAGGGGCCACCACCGTAAATATTTTTAAGACTAATACTTTATTTCTTAAAATTCTAGACAAAAATCCTTGCAAAGATCATAGAAATTTTTCAAATGTATTTAAGGAGCTAGAGGAATGGCTTATCAGTTGAGAGCACTGTTGCTCTTCTGGAAGACCTGGAACTCTACCAATGTGTAAATTTGTTTTAATTAGAGTGATGTATTTTTTCCCTTTTTTGGGATCCTCCTAGGTAGTCAGCTGCATCAAGATGACCAGCCACCAACAATGAATGCAAACTTGATACTGTCTATGAGGAATACATAGCTACAGAAGTTACTGCCAATGCTCTAAGAGTAGAGGGTTAGGGTCTGAATCAGGGGTAGGAATGGCAAATGAGGTCTTCTCATGAAGCAGTTACAGCAATGTGTACCCTGCTGCTGAGCAAGGAGCATGCTCACTACAGACCACAGAGAACTGGAGCAAGAAAGGGCGGGTCTGCTGGGATACAGTGGGGAAAGAGAGGGAGGGAGAGGGAGAAGGAGAGGGAGAAGGAGAGGGAGAGGGAGAGGGAGAGAGAGAGAGAGAGAGAGAGAGAGAGAGAGAGAGAGAGAGACATTCTATGGGCAATCAATGAAAAAGGAAATGAGTAACTAAAAGCCCCTGAATTGCAAAAGCATTTGCTTATAGCAATAGGGCGAAATTTTTGAACTCACTATCTCAGCTATGATTGCTTATGATAAAGACTGATACAACATGCATTTTTATCACTTCTCTGTACAGATAATTACAAGGGACAAGAGGGTACCTATTCAAGGTAACAGAGCCACTTATGTTAATATTTGTGCCACCCACAATACCTCCCCGGATTTGTTACAAGCTCTGTATTGTCATACAAAGCATAATTAAATTAAACTGAGTCAAATGAAAGTCATCTGATAAGCCTTTCCACATAATTACAAATATGTATGTGTATTTCTTTTTTAAGTTCTGGAGGTTTTG